GAATTCTCTTAATTTTGGTCTTATGCGCCATTTGGGATAGCGCATCCCTATAAGTCATGTCACGTTACATGCATGCGTATAAGACTGTCCCTATGCTGCCATCTTACACTGCACCTATACTGCCACCTACTCTACATGTAGGTTTGTCCCACGCCAAGCTGACTGGCGCATGCTCTCTAAAATGCATGCAGGCGCCATTTGACTTGACTCCAACATGGAACATATTCTGCATGCATGCAACAACCAACCACCTCATTAATTCACTCTTATACAAATTCGCCTATAAATATGGCGCACGAGACACTTGTTTTGCATCACCAATCATCAAACTCTCTGATACAAACTCTTTCATTGTCTTATACAATTTTAAATATGGTTCTTCTCACGATGGACGATTCTCACAGAGGCACAAGAGACAATATTGCAGCATTTGTAAATTTCTATAAACTCTTAAATATTCTTTTATATTAATATATATTTTATAAAGTTATTATTAAATTATTCATCTTATGGACTCTTGCACTATTTATATTTTGAATTTAGGATACTAAAAGATTTAGAATTCGCTCACACAACTACATTACTTCCGACCCGTTGATCGTGCCCTATCTCGAATATGCCGATTTTGGAAATGTTATAAAAATCTCAAACTGTGCGACTGATTCCAAGTTTATACTTGTAATGTTGGAAAGATGGAGACCCAAGACACACACATTTCATCTATCAATAGGTGAACATACTGTCACACTAGAGGATGTATACATGTTATTGGGTCTCCCTATCGATGGTAAGACAGTGAATGGATCGCTTAACAACCCAATTCTCCATAAGAGGAATTGTTGGGCAAAGACATGGTAGAAGATAGTGGAGCTAGGGGCCAACGTATATTACTAACCGAACTTAAAAAACATTATGCGACTCTTGAATTGAATGAAAATTCATCAGAGCTAGCAAGAATAATTAAAGCTAGAAATTATATTATAATTCTATTTGGAAGTTTGTTATTTCCCAAAAGTACAGAGAATAGTGTAAATTTTATGTATTTAAGTTTGCTAAGGAACTTTGAAAAAATAAGAAAGTATAGTTGGGGTTATGCTGTTTTAGCCCATCTATACAGTTCTTTGTGTAAAAATGCAACAAAAGACAAATGTACTTTTTATGGATGCACTTTCTTACTCCAAGAATGGGGTTGGTGGAGAATGGAGTCCCTAAACCCAATCAACAACAATACATTCATTTTCCCATACGCAACAAAGTAAGTCAAGCACTTAAATAATTTATTATTCATCCTTTCGCCAAATAAATGTATAAAATTAACTAGTTTTTCATTCTTTTACGTACTGTGTAACAGGTATGGATTACGGCAAGAATCCAAGATTCAATGTCGCTCTATATTGTAATCTATTGGATCACCTTGGCCCAAATGATGTACGTGATACCTTTGAACTTTTCTACTTTTAAATTATTTATTTTTTACGTTTTTATTATTCTTATTAATTTTTATCCACAGTTTATCTGGAGACCATATTTGAGTTTGGACCATGAACCCAACCCCCGATGATGCAACAGTTTGGACTCCAAAGACTTCAATCATACGGTTCAACGTTATGGAGATGCACCACAACGACCATGTCAAGATGCAGTTCGGAATGCATCAAGAGATACCATACGATCTAACTTGTTTGTCACCCTGTCATCTCAAAAGGGTCAACACCCAATGGGGTCTTACTAATCGGAAAGATTTTGCTCTAGAATGGTGTAAGATGTGGCATATGCGTCACCAACATGTCTTACAATTCCCTCTTTTCCTCAATAGAATAATATGCGACACACAAATCAATATTTTGATTGGTACATATTGATTACTAACCCAGAAACACATGCGTCTCACCCGAGGTATTTGATCGACCCACGAACACAATGGGCACAACCCTCAAATCCCCAACAATAAACCCAACGCACATCAACCTTCCACCAAACACCATGACGATACAGATCCACAAACATCCAACCACAATCACCACCTCAATACCAATACACCCGCATGCCTCACACCTAACCCCAATCTCAATCTCAATACCAATACACCCACATGCCCCACACACAATTCCAGTATTCTGAACATCCCGATGTGAGCCCCTCATCATCTCACCTTATCCCAAATCTAGGCTTTCCTGAAGAATATGACCCAACCGACCCAAAGTACCATCAACCACCAGATCACCATAGCACCCAACAATCGCAATACCAAACACCCCAAGATTCATTTCCTTTTTACCCCCTTACTCAGACAACCAATGCTATAGACCATTCATGGAACCCCACCCCACCAAGACGACCAAACTTTGAGGGCATGGGTAACCGACTGTACCAAAGCGGATCTTCCAGATATGGTGATCTGACAGATTTCATGGATCCTAAACGCGTTGACTTCACTGGGCCATCGACCCAACCGCAACAGGAAAATCGACGAAACTCACCACGAGATAGGCGAGGACGCGGGTACGAAACCACATGTCGTTATTGAGTTCCGGGGGACAACTAAATAATATGCATGATTTTTTTTCCATTATGTAATCGTTTATTTGTTATTGAAAAATCGAAGTTTCATTAAGCTATATAGTTTACTTGTTGTCTCTTATTTAAAATAGAAAGCAAAAACAATTGGGAGTCAAAAGCACTTAGGCGCCATCTGAGATGGCTTATGGCAAACACGTTGCACATATGCGCCATCTCACTTGACGCCTCCATATAAAAATAAGGCAAAATACTCATTTTGGTCCCTTAACTATACCCTTGGGTTCACATTGGTCCCTTAATTTTTTTTCGGGTCATTTTGGTCCCTTAACTTTCAAAATGTTTCATTTTAGTCCTTTTTGTCTAATTAGCGACAAATTTAGCGACGTATTTCAAAGTTTTTCCGTCGCTAATTAGACAAAAAAGGACTAAAATGAAACTTTTTGAAAGTTAAGGGACCAAAATGACACGAAAAAAAGTTAAGGGACCAATGTGAACCCAAGGGTATAGTTAAGGGACCAAAATGAGTATTTTGCCTAAAAATAAAGAGAATGCGCCATGAGTTGGCTCCTCTATTTAAGTGTTTTCTGAAACATTATTATTTGCGTAATTTTCTCCGAAACATAATTATTTATATATTTTTTTTAATACCTTATTATTGTTAAAAAAAATTCAAAATATACTACGTATCTCTAACTTTAGAGTTGTCATCTCAAAAGATGCTCAAAACGGTTATTTAAAATATTTATATTTTAATTCAAATTAGATTAAAAACTAATTAACTATTAATATAGTTTTAACCCAATTTATATTTTGTACATGTTAATAATATGATTTTAATCAAATTTTGGACATTCATATAAAAAAAACTAAATTAATCTATTGTTTAAAAGTCACAAAAAATATTTTAAATTTTTGTTTAAAGAATAAATCTTCAAAAAAAAAAGTTTAAGGAAAAATAACTTTTCTTGAATTTTTTTCTTTTAAAAAATTAAAAAAGAAAATCTATAGTTTTTTCAAAAACAAAATATAAGATTTTTTAGTTTTGGAAAACAATATTTTTTCTAAGAATAAAAGAATTATTTAAATTTCCTTTCAAAAAACAAAAACTATGATTTCTTATTTTTGAAAAAAATTAATTTTCTCAAAAATAAAATAAATATTTTTAAAAAATTATATATTTTTACAATTAAAAAAAAGTTTTTTTAGTTTTGAAAATAAATTAAAGTTTTTCTAAATATTAATTTTGTTTTTTCAATTTTTGAAAAAAATTATTTTTCTAAAAATAATTTGTTTTTTTTTTATTTAAATCAAAACTAATCATAAAACTTGTTATGAATATAATCGATTAATAACTATAACCATTTAAAAAAAATTAGAATCTTATTATCATAATTGATTTTAATAACCGAGTATAACCTATTATTTAAATAGTTATGAATTGATTATAGGAATTAATCGCCATTAACATCTCTAGTCATCTGCGAGGTTTTGATCTAATCCCTCTCACTTTTGTATCTATTTTCTATATACAAAGAGCTCTTTATCCACTTTGGCTAAAAATAAATATACATTGATATGCATAATCTATTTTTTCTATTTATATCAAGAGCTCCATATCCACTTTATTTTAAGGATAATACCCTAGATGCACAAGTTAATACATTTATTTATAAAAAGTTTGTATTAAAAAAGCAATAAAAAGCTTAATTTTGCATATTTAATAAAATCAGTGTATAATTTTCAAAATATTATTTTTTTGCTTAGTTTTTAATTTGTGCTCCTTATTTTAAAATATTTTTTTATATAAAAGAAACAAATATTTTATAAAAAATACTACTCTCCATTTTCGTCTCATGTGTGTTAAAAAATATAATGATTGCTGATGAAAATTTTGATAAAAATTTATCCTTAATTAATGGCACGGAAAATATTAAAAAAAGTTGAAAAAATAATAATCAATACTTAAGACTAAAATAAAATTAGTATTAACTATTAATTGATTTTGATATTTTCAAAGCATATATAATTAAAAATGGATGCAGTGCATTTTAGATATAAAGAAAGCGGAAAAACATCATAGAAGAAAGACAGTAACACGCCATTGGAGAAGGATCACGTGAAGTTACCAACACCAGAAAACTCGCTCGCCGCGTTATTGCGTTGAGTATTTTTGTTTTTCAACTAAACAAGACTATTTTGAGTCAAACACACTTCGTACTTTCCGAATAAACTTCTCCATTGTCATTAAAAAGAATAAAAATCTCGCAAATTCGTCACTTTTTCTTTTTTTAAACCCAAAATTCCTATTTACCATATTTCTACACTTTTGTTTTTTTTTTCTTTTTTTCTTTTTTTCTTTACCCTTCTCTCAGTTTTTTTTTTTACTCTTCAATGTGTACCAATTTTCGTAAAACAACCTGACACCCAAAAAACGTTCATTTGTTTAAGGTTGTCGAAACCGACGTTGTTTTTGTTTAGTACTATGAATAAACAGAATATGTAGTTGTGACTGTCAGTGTTTTTTTGTTGTTGTTGGAATCATTAAAAGGGGATTGATTTTCGGTCGTTTTTTGGTTTTTTAATAATATTGATCCGTTTTTGGATTCAGTCCTATTTTGAGTTGACAGTGTCAGACACGCGGTTGTTCTGCCATTCGGACAATTTTCATCTATTGCTGGCTTTGTCTTTGAGTTGGTAAGATATTTATACGAAACTTTCTTTGCGACTCTATTCTTTATATCATTCATTGTTGAACTATTCTTATAGATTAGTCCTTTATATATACATATATATGTAGACATATAGACAAACTCTATTGCTGATTTAGTGGTGTGTGTTTGTGGTTTGTTCTTGGTTGATGATGAAATTACAGGTCTTATAGTCTGTCTCATCAATCATCATCATCATCATCATCGTGGATTCTATACCACATTTAAATAGAGGGGATTCTTTTGTTAAGGTAACACAAATGAGCAATAATATGGATCAAGAATCTGAGAATGGGAGTGTTGCTCAAACACCTAATGCTATGGATATTTCTCTCTCGAGATCAACTTCTAAGAGAGTGGAGGATCAGTATGCGTCGAGTTCTATGTTTACCGGAGGTTTTAATCAGGTTACGCGATCCCAATTCAAGGATAAGGTGATTGAATCTGATTCCAGCCATCATCCTCAGATGGCTGGGACTACAGGGTCAGCTTGTGAGATGCTGGGGTGTGACGGAAAGGTCATGATCGACGAGAGAGGTTTGGAGATACTTCCTTGTTACTGTGATTTCAAAATTTGTAGGGATTGTTATAAGGATACTTTAAGAAACGGTGAACTGATTTGTCCGGGATGCAAGGTTGCTTACGCGGAGCATGAGATGGCAGATGCGGGTTCTGCGGTCAATCAGAAGTCATTGCCTTGGCCAACTGGTGGCGGTGATGTGTCGAAGAGGTTGTCGAGGATGAAATCGGGGAATTCGACGAGTAGCACAACTAATGAACTTGATCATGATCCATGGTTGTCTGAGACTAAAGGGAGCTATGGATATGGAAATGTTATGTGGCCTAAAGATTCTGAGAATGGTGCTAGTTCTAGGTCTGGTTCTGATTTGATGGGCGGTGACCCTGATGGTTTCAAAGAAAAGGAATGGCGGCCTTTGACACGGAAATTGAATATTTCAACTACAATTCTGGGTCCTTATCGGTATGATTACATTTTCCTCTTTACTTTTTTCCCTGCTGGTGGACTGTATTTTTCATATTATTGTTTAAACTTTCAGGTGCATAATATTTGCTCGGATGGTGATTTTAGTTCTCTTCCTAAGGTGGAGGGTAATAAACCCGAACGAAGATGCAATCTGGCTGTGGGGAATGTCTTTAGTATGTGAAATCTGGTTTGCCATCTCTTGGCTTCTTGACCAGTTCCCTAAGCTCTTTCCGTTAAACAGGGTTGCTGATCTCGATGTTTTGAAAGAGAAGTTCGAAACTCCTAGTCCACACAATCCAACAGGAAAATCCGATCTTCCAGGAGTTGATATATTTGTGTCAACGGCGGATCCCGAAAAAGAACCGCCGCTTGTTACTGCAAATACTATTCTTTCTATTCTAGCCGCGGATTATCCCGTGGAGAAACTTTCATGTTATGTCTCTGATGACGGGGGTTCGCTTCTTACTTTTGAGGCCATGGCAGAGGCAACAAGTTTTGCCAATTTGTGGGTTCCTTTTTGTCGGAAGCACGACATTGAACCAAGGAACCCGGAATCTTATTTTAGTCTCAAGAGAGATCCGTATAAGAACAAAATACGTTCTGACTTTGTAAGAGACCGTAGGAGGGTGAAGCGTGAGTATGATGAATTCAAGGTTCGGATTAATGGCCTTCCAGATTCAATCCGGAGGCGCTCTGATGCTTTTAATGCTGGAGAGGATGTTAAAGCACTGAGGTTGTGGAAAGAGGCTGCGAATGATGAACCAATAGAGAATTTGAAAATTACTAGAACTACACGGATGACTGATGGTACTGACTGGCCAGGGACATGGACAACTCCTGCCCCGGATCATTCTCGGGGTGATCATTCCAGTATCATACAGGTTATTATCACTTCTATTCTGAATTGGTTAATCTGAATCGGCTATTCTAATGATTTGGACACTTATATCACTTTCTTACATAAGTCTAGGATGTTTATAGTTTACTTAATTGTGATACACTGAATTGCAATTTTATCGCTGCTTCATATAAACATCAAATGTCCTAACCGTGTAAACGCCTCTTTCGAATGCAGATAATGTCGAAACCTCCAAGTAACGAACCACTGATCGGCACAGCATCAGATTCAAATACAATGGATTTGACCGAAGTTGATATCCGCCTTCCTATGCTTGTCTATGTTTCTCGTGAAAAACGACCGGGCTATGATCACAACAAGAAAGCTGGGGCCATGAATGCTCTTGTTCGAGCTTCAGCTGTTATGTCCAATGGCGCTTTCATACTTAATCTTGACTGTGACCATTACATATATAACTCGGAGGCGTTGAGGGAAGGCATGTGCCATATGATGGACCGCGACGGAGAAAGGATCTGCTACGTTCAGTTTCCCCAAAGGTTCGAAGGAATCGACCCTTCTGATCGCTATGCTAACCACAATACTGTCTTCTTTGATGTCAATATGCGAGCTCTCGATGGACTTCAGGGTCCTTTTTACGTTGGTACAGGATGCCTATTTCGAAGAACTGCACTTTATGGTTTTGATCCGCCTCGGTTGCAAGAAGAGGCTGCTGAGGGTGCTGGTTGGTTTGGTAGTAAGAAAAAGAAATCCGCAACAGTTGCCTCAGTCTCTGAAGTAGATTCTCTAGAGGACCAGTCTTTAAGGAGTGGTGGTAGCATTGATGATGAAGAAATGAATATTGCTCTTATTCCGAAGAAATTCGGCAACTCGAGTCTTTTTGTTGAATCAATCAGGGTGGCAGAGTTTCAAGGGAGACCACTTGCCGATCACCCATCTGTGAAAAATGGACGCCAACCCGGTGCTCTAATACTTCCTCGGGATCTTCTCAATGCTGCAACTGTCTCCGAGGCAATCGATGTCATCTCGTGCTGGTACGAAGATAAAACCGAATGGGGAGATAGAGTTGGATGGATTTACGGTTCTGTAACTGAGGACGTTGTGACAGGTTATAGAATGCATAATAGAGGATGGAGATCTGTGTATTGTGTGACCAAGAGGGATGCTTTCCGGGGATCTGCTCCAATCAATCTCACTGACCGGCTTCACCAAGTTCTTCGATGGGCAACCGGATCAGTTGAAATATTCTTTTCGCGCAACAACGGTCTCTTGGCTAATTCAAAACTACAATTTTTGCAAAGGGTCGCTTACCTCAACGTCGCAATCTATCCATTCACTTCTTTCTTCCTTATAGTTTACTGCTTCCTCCCAGCTCTATCGCTTTTCACCGGCCAGTTCATCGTCCAGTCCCTTCAAGTCGAATTCTTAGTTTACCTTATGGGAATCATGGTCACACTTATAGTTCTCGCTGTTCTCGAAATCAAATGGTCCGGTATCGAACTCGTTGACTGGTGGAGAAACGAGCAATTCTGGATGATCGGAGGCACAAGTGCGCATCTAGTCGCGGTTCTTCAAGGTCTACTCAAGGTAATAGCTGGTATTGAGATCTCATTCACTCTAACATCAAAGTCATCCGGCGACGACGAAGACGACTACGCGGATCTCCATGTCATCAAATGGTCATCTTTGATGATACCGCCGCTCACAATCATAATGGTTAATATAATAGCAGTGGCGGTTGCGGTTAGTAAAACGATATACAGCGAAGATCGAAAATGGAGTAGTTTACTTGGAGGTATATTCTTCAGCTTTTGGGTATTGTCTCATTTATATCCATTTGCAAAAGGACTAATGGGAAAAAGAGGGAAAACACCAACTATTGTGTATGTTTGGTCAGCTCTATTATCAATATGTATATCACTTTTATGGGTTGCTATTAATCCTCCTTCTGGTAACAATCAAATATGAGGTTCATTCCAATTTCCTTAACTTGTAATCTAAGTAACTGTGAGGGTTTTTTTTGGTTGTTAGCATTTCTTAGTTAGCATTCATTCTTTGCTCAGAAACTATTGATTATACTGTTACTCATCATAGAAAGGAATATATCATACAATTTTTTTCATACTTCATTCTCATTTACTCTCAAAGTTGAGAAGATTTTGGTGTTAGATTAGATGGGGATATCATACACATCTGAGTTGTATTTTATACAATTTAAAAGATTTTTGTGTCTCTAAATAACACACTTCTTAACTATATATAGTAGAGTCAACTATAGTATAATAGAACAAAATAGTACATGCTAATAATTTATTTTTGTTATAATGTGATGTAATTAAGAAAAATATCTTAAATTTTTAATATTTTCACCTCTTTTCTTGCCTTGATTTTTTTTAGATAACGGTAATATGAATTAAAAAATATTGATACACAAAAATGTGGAGATTAAAGTCAAAATGCATTCAAAAGTATCTAATCTAAAGAGAAGTAATTCTAACTTGTTCTTTACATAATCACTTCTAACTTTAATAGACAAAGAAACAGTTAGTAGTTGCATGGTCTAGGTTAGCAAAAAAAAGTCTACACATCTATTTCTTTCTTTGTAGATATGAAGATATAATAAAATTCATATCTAAAATAGTGTTGATACAATTGTTCCATCAGTTTCTTAATTGCCAAGGGACTAAGGCCACATTCTATCTAAAAATGTGTTGAAACAATTGTTCCATCGATTTCTTAATTGCCAAAGGATTAAGGCCATATTCAAAGAAGAAAAAACATTAACCATTAAAGTCAAATCTGATTCAACACAAAGATCAATCAATCTTTGTTAAAAGCTATTTCAATACATCTGAGAATCTCACAAAATTCCTCCAGACAAGAGTTGCTTCAACTGAGGCGTTCCGAAAAAGTCATAGTAAATTCATCAGAACTACAAACTAATATACTATTGAGAATGAAGGATCAATATTAGGGGTGCTCGTGATCCGGTTTGGATCGGTTTTGAGACAAAATATCATCTGATTTAAAAATATATAAAGCATACGGTTTGATTCGGTTTTTGGATGACAACAAGAAAAATTCAATTCAATCCAATCCAATTTATACGGTTTACTTCGGTTCGGTTGAATCGGTTTTATTCGATTTTTAAACCAACACTATTTAGAAATTTAAAAAGAATATATTTCAATACCAGTTACAATTATGCCACCAACGTTTACTGAGACAATATCTAATTGCTATGTTAATATGGCTATTTGATGTCATTATTGCAAAATTTTATTATAATATATGTATAATATCTATCCCAACGAAATAGACATGACTATAATATATAATATATATGGAGATATGTTTAGTTTTTATATGGAGATTTGTATTATAAATTAAATATATGACAAATATATAAAACAGTGAACATAATTAATTTGGAATGATGGCTATAAATGATTCGATATTAATTTATTTTAAATAATAAATGGCAAGTAAATGGATGTAATACCGGTTCGGTTCTCATGAAGCCAACCATAAACCGAACCGGTCGGTTATGCTACATGGTGATCCAAATACATCTAAAAAAATTCGGTTTTTTTTGGATTTCAATTTTTTCGGTTCGGTTTTTAGATTTTTTTTTGATCGGATTGGATCTGAACACCCCTAAACAACATGACTTGATTTAGGGTGCACTTACATCAAATTTTTTTTAAATTTTTTTATACTATTATATTGTTAACAAGTTTACAAAGAATTTTTTTTAAAATTAAATGAAAAATTAGTTTTAATAGATTTTTTATAATATTTAATTTTTGGTATTTCTTTATTCTGCTATAAGTTTTTTTATATATCTAAATTTAAGAAAAATCATTAAATTTAAAGATATTTTAAATTAACCTTTTTATAAAAGTTACTTTTTAAATATATACTTTTGAATAATTTTGACTATATTTTAATTTTTTAGTTATGTTTTATTCTTTAATAATAATCATTTCTGTTATAGAAAAATGTGTTCATTAAAATCATCTTTTAAACGTATATATAAAAAAATCACTTATCAAAAAAAAAAATCAATTTAATCGATTATGATAAAATTTATTATATGATTCTATCAAAATTTAGAAAATTTCTTATTCCACCCTTATATATTAATATGCTATCATCAATATGTGTCAGAAAAATATCTCTGACTACTAATATAAAACTTATCATCAATATCTTTGAAAATATATAAAAAAATTCTTGATTAATATAAAAATTTTCATCAACATCTCTGAAAATATATAAAAATATATAAAAATATCTATATTAATAATATAGAAATTCCAAACGTTCCATTTGTAATTGGAACCTTTTTTATAACAATATATTAGTAATATAGAAATAATAAATAGTATATCCATGGTAATTTCTATGTTCCAATTTTCAATTACCGTCAATTGCCATCAAGAAAATTACACATAGAAATTTCTGTTAGTCAAGAAAATATATAATTTTTATATGTCTCAAGAAGTTTTCTATTATTCTTAATATATTATTCACATATAAATATAATTTTATATTAGTCAAAAAATCTATAAAATCTATAAAATCTATAAAATTGTTTTTCATTATTATTATTATAGAAATTAATTGAAATAAATGATATTTTCAGAAATATATTTTCAAATTAATCTCTAAAAAATTTAAAAATATATCTTTAAATTAAATTTTATAAAAAATAAGATTTGATGCGTTTAAAGATATATTTTTAAAAATAAAAATAAAAATTTAAAAATTTAATCAGCATCATGAAAGAAGATATAAAAACTACCAATAAATACAAGTTACATTTGCTTGAATTTGTTTGTGTTTCTTCTACGTAAATAACATATGCAATTGCATTTTCTTTTACGGTATATGAACCCCCAACTTCATCATATAACCCATTCTTAAACCCCTAAGGAGGATCTTCGAAAATACAATATAGGATATTATCTAATAAGTGATTTGTGTTTCTTTTTTTAAGCTCATCATCATCTTCATAATCAATTTTGCGTCGATGTGTTTTGAACACCTATAATGCTTTTGATACAACTTTATCAAATACAAAACTGCAGTCTGACAATGTTAGAATTAATTTAGATTTAATTAAATATTAATTTATATTTAAAAATATCTTTTAAATTGTTTATATCTTTGTTAAAAGATATAAATCTTAGATCTTTTTATATCTTTGTAAAAGATATATTTTAGATTTAATTTGTGTGTATAAATAGCCTAGTGAAGTAGGTTATTGTAATTCATTATAAATTCTTATTTTTGAAGTTATCAGTAAATATTCCTTTTGTCTTTTATCTTCCTTGTGCTCCAACAATTGATATCTAGAGCTCCTGGTTAGAAACTCTGGAATTTGAGAAATATTGATTTTTTTTCATTGAGTTTCTGCGTAAATTGCACAAGATAAAAGATGAACGAAAACAGAGATATTCATTCCAAGCTTCTAGTATTTGATGGCAAAAACTGAAATCGTTGAAAGATCCAGATGCGCGTGTTATTTGGTTCTCAAGATGTGTTAGAACTTGTTACTGATGGCTATAATCTATTAGAAGCAGATGCAACAGAGGACCAGAAGATAGCACATAAGGTGCTGAGAAAGAGAGATCAGAAAGCGTTGTTCTACATCCATCAATGTGTGGATGTGAATGTGTTTGAGAAGATTGTTGATTCTGAAACAGCAAAGGCTGCGTGGGACACACTGGTCAGATGTTACGGTGGTGACGCATCCGTGAAGAAGGTGAAGCTTCAGTCTCTCAGAAAGCAATATGAGAATCTCAACATGAAGGACAACGAGAAGGTTTCTGAATACATCTCTAGAGTGATTCTGATCACTAATGAGATGAAATCTTGTGGAGAAACTCTGTATGAACAAGTAATTATTGAGAAGATCTTGAGATCTTTAACTTCTCTGTTTGATTACATTGTTGTAGAAATTGAACATTCCAAAGATCTGAGCGCCATGAGAGTTGAAGAGCTGCAAAGTAGTCTAGAGGCGCATGAGTTGCGTATGACTGCAAGAACTTCTGAGAGGGAAGTAGAGCAGCAGGCTCTGAAAGTAACTTCTTGTAAGAAGCATCAAAAGCAGACTTGGTTAGAAGCCAAGAAGAAAACTAATGGTGGTCAAAAGTCAGAAGCTTCGAACTCTGATAGGCAGAAGAATGTCTAGAAGGGAAAGAAGAAGTCTGACAAGAAGAATGTTCAGTGTTACTGTTGTAAGAACTTTGGTCACTATGCCAGAGATTGCTGGTCCAACAAAGAAAGGAAGTCATAAGAAGCAAATATAGCACGAGGAGACTCTGATGATGAACCTGTGCTATTGTTGGCTTCTAAACCTGATGATCTAAATTCATCAGAATGGTGGTATATGGACACAGGGTGTTCAAACCATCTTACTGGAAATAAGAAGTGGTTGGTTGACTTTGACTCTGTGAAGAGTACAAAGATCAGATGTGCTGATGACAAATACCTCAATGCAGAATATATGGGAAATGTCAGAATCATTCTAAACAATGGGAAAGCAGCTGTGATCCAGAATGTTTGGTATGTACCTGGCATGAAAAGCAATCTGATGAGTGTGGGACAACTGGTTGAGAAAGGATTTTCAGTTACCATGAAGGACAATCTTCTGAAGTTGTATGACTGCAATCAGAAGCTGATTATGGAGTCAGAACAGGGAAAGAATAGAACATTCAAGGTGAGTGTTAGAACTGCAAACTCTGAATTTCTTAGTGCAACAAGTGTTGTCAAGGAGAGTGAGTTGTGACACAGAAGATTCGGTCATCTGAATTTCATAAGTTTAGGGCATCTGAAACCAAAGAATCTGGTACATGGAATTCCTACAATCAAGAAGCCTGAAAAATCATGCAAGGTGTGCATGGAAGGGAAGCAACCAAGATTACCCTTTGCATCAGAAGTAGCTCCAAGAGCAAAACATGCCTTGGGAGTAGTACATTCTGATGTGTG